TCTTATGTTCAGTTTTATTATAATTATTATTGCTTCCTTGGGTTCCTAGTGGAACATAGGGATTCAACTGCACGTCTCCATTTTCTTCTGTCTTCTGATGTACTTTTCATCTGCATCCATGTTAGTCCATATTCTTTCAACTCCTCTTCACACGATCTCCTCCATGTCACCCTTGGACGTCCCACACGCCGCTTCCCTTTCGGGTTCCACTCGAGGGCTTGACGCGCGATGTCACCCAGCGGTCTCCTCAGCGAGTGTCCCATCCATCTCCACTTTCTCCTGCATATTTGTTGGGCGATTGGTTCTTGCTTTGTTTGTTCCCATAATTCCTTGTTGGTGATTCTTTCCGGCCATCTGATCTTCAGTATAGAGCGAAGACAGTTGTTAATAAAGGTCTGCAACCTTTTGGAAATATTCTTTGTGACCCACCCGCCAAGTTTCTGATCCGTATAGAAGAACTCTGACTTTACGTTTGTATTGAAAATCCGAATTTTGTTGGTGATGCTGAGTGACGAAGATTTCCAGATTGATTTCAGGCTGATGAATGTGTTTCTCGCCTTCCCGATTCTCGCTCGATTTGACATCCTCGTCCGCTCCTCCTGTAGTTGAGACAATGCTCCCTAGATAAGTGAATGAAGTAACCTCTTTCAAATCCCTCCCGTTGATGGTGATTGACGTTGGATGTTGTTGCTGTTGTTGTTGTTGTTGGTTGGTTATTTTCATAACCTCCGTCTTGTCTATGTTTACCTGGAGTCCTGTCTTTGCTGCTTCTTCGACCAGTTTGTCGGTTTTCGCTTGTAAGTCTTCGATTTTGTGTGACATCAAACATAAATCATCCACGCGCGAAATCCAGGTCTTCTAGGTTCTTCACGTCGGTCCAGGATATTCCTGTCTTCTCGTTTCCCACTGTCTGACGCATAATCCCGTCAGTCCACCACAATTAGGAATATCATTGGTGATAGTAAGCACCCTTGTCTGACTCCTGTGTTTACTCCAAACGCCTCGCTGAGTCTTCCGTTGTGGATCACTTGGCAGGTGCCGTTGTCGTACAGCTGTTGAATAAGGTTGATGAATATTTGGGGTACGCCATAGTACTCGAGTAATTTCCAAATTACTTCACGGTCAACGCTGTCGAAGGCCTTCTCAAAGTCTATAAAGTTGAGGTAGAGGTTTGATTGCCATTCCATGCTTTGTTCTGTGATGATGATGCGTAGAGTTGCAATTTGGTCAGTACATGATTTGCCTTTCCTGAATCCAGCTTGTTCTGGTCGGAGTTCTGTCTCCAGTGCGTCCTTTAATCTCTCCAGGATGATGCGACTCAGGATTTTACTTGGCGTCGACAGGAGCATGATTCCTCGCCAGTTCTTGCAGAGTGAGGCCTAAGTCGCCCTTCTTTGGTAGTTTCACGAGGTAACCTTTCCTCCAGTCAGTAGGCACCTTTCCCTCCTTCCAGACCTTTTGCAATAATGGAGTCAGCATGTCTGCTGTCGTCTCTGGGTCTGCTTTCAGTGCTTCAGGGGGTATTCCATCTGGTCCGGCTGCTTTTCCAGCTTTCAAGAACTTGATTGCGTTCAAGACTTCAGCTTTCGTTGGAGGATTGGTGTCAACTTGCAGTTGTGTGCGCGCTGTTGTTGGTATTTCTGGACGGGTTGCAGGTGATGGTCGGTTCAAGAGTCCTTTGAAGTGATCCGCCCATTGTTTAATCTGTTTTTTTTCCTTGGTAATTGGGTTCCCTTGGCTGTCTTTTATAGGTTTCGCTTGTGTTGATCTCTTCCCGGATAGAGATTTGGTTAACTAATATAGTGTAGTAAGCTGAGCTCAGCGTCTCCTTCTCCTGTCCGTCCTTGCATTGAATCATTTTCTCTTTCACCATTCTCCTCTCTTCTATTAATTTCCAAGTGTCCGTTGAGAGCCATTCCTTGTCTTGTCTCTTCTTTCTTCCTAGAACCGTTGAACACGTTTCGTTGAGAATCGCCTTCAGAGACTTCCAATGTTCTTCCACGCATGATTTTTCAGTGATGTCACGTAGTGTTTCCTGCTTTGCTCTGACAGTTGCAGTGAAAGTGTCTTTTGTAGTTTTATCCTTCAGTTTCTGAGTGTTGAACTTGCATTGTGGCCTGTCCCCAGCTATCCTCGAGGCTTTTAGTTTCACCTTGAAAGTCCCTTGTACTAGATGGTGGTCTGAACCCACATCTGCTCCTCTCCTTGACCTTGTGTCAAGTAGGCTTCGTCTCCAATTTCTTGAAATTGAGATGAAGTCTATTTGGTTTTTGGTGTTTCCATCTGGTGAAATCCATGTCGTCTTGTGTATATCCTTGTGTTTGAACACACTACCACCAATCACCAAATCATTGAAGGCGCAGAAGTCTGAGAAGAGTTCACCATTGTCGTTCATTTCGCCGAGGGCCTCACGACCCATGGTGAGTTCTCTTCCTGTGTTGTCTCATCCCAGCTTCGCATTCATGTCGCCCATCAGGATTTTGATATCGCCATTTGGGACGTTGTCCATTATTGCTTGTAGTTGTCTGCAGGACACCTCCTTCTTCTCTTGTTCTGAGACGTTTGTAGGCGCATAGCATTGAATGACTGCAACTTTCCTTCCTTTTGAGTTGAACCTGGCTGTCATTATCCTGGAGGAGATTGGTTCCCACTGCATGAGAGCTTTGGTTGCTGTTGGTGACATCATGATGGCCAATCCCTCAGTGTGCTCGTGGTTGTCCTCTGGGTGGCCGGAAAAGATTACTGTCTCTCCAGTAGGTAGTTGGCACCTTCCAGTTCCGTTCCATCTGTTTCCGCAGATTCCCAACACTTGTATTCTGTACCTTCTCATTTCAGCGGCTATCTGGGCAGCCTTTCCAAATTCGTACATTGTACGAACATTCCAGGTACCCATCCTTACTTTTGCTTTCATCGAAAGCATGCACATCGGCCGAATGGCTTTCCGAAGGCTTTCACCAGCCTGCGTCATTTCACTTCCCGATTCCAGCGAAAAGTAAGGCTATTGCTTATGTTTTTAGTATTTTTAATACATTTATTCGTTGAAGTTTCTGTAGCGATTTGGTTGTTTTACAGGGGTGGAGTTGCTAGCACCACGCCCCAACCCTCCCTCTTTACCTGGGCTTGGGACCGGCTAGAAAACTAGTAAGCTAGTAGCCTAGCAAGCTAGTATCTGGCGAGGTTATGTTCAGTTTTATAAGCGAAAATAATTGTAGGATAAAATAAATGATTTCGTCATGAGCTGATATCGATCAGACAACAATTGGATTACCAACAGGGAGTACTGGAGAGCTGTTTCATCCAGAATGACTGACTGACTAATTGACTGGTTTCAAGGTAGAACACTGCACAAATGTTTACCAGTTCCAGTTGCCACTCACTCTCCATCACTCCATGTACCACACAAAGCAAGAGAAGACAGTGAAAAAGCAGAGATTCAAAGTAGAGATACTCAACAGAATTCTGAGTGAGAGTGAGAGAAAAAGAATGGTATTAATATGAAACAACAATAGTGTCTTATTGGATATTATATAGCACAAAGAGTGAATGCATCTAATCCAGTCATTCAGAAGGTGTACACTTAATCGTTGGGGTCCTCGGGACGGTAAAAACCAATGAAGGCTGGAAACAATTGGTGATATGGCTAAAAGTGATCGTTCTCAATGGCGCAGATGCATTCACTCCTTGTGACTTATAATACCCAGTAAATAAAATTATATTGTTCTTCGTTACTTCTATTTCTTTGTCTCACACCTCTGTTTACTGTCTCTATTATGCATTTCTTCTAATTTCTTCTTTTGCTTTGTGTACTACATGTGGGGAGTGTGACGACTTGAACTGCCGCATATATGTGCAAAGTTCAATGTCGAAAACAGACAGACAGACAGACAGTCATTCAGAACTAACACCTTGAGTCATATCACCTATTCTCTGGAGTACTCATTGGTTCTTATCATCATCATCCTGAGCAACCCAACCACCAAATCAACACCTCCCATGTGACTAGCTGACTTAAACTAACTGTTGTGGATTCGATTGACTGATGAAGCCATGTTTCGGTTTGACTACCACTAGATATTTCCCTACCTCATCCTATGTTGTTATCTAACGTTGACCGTCGAGGAAGGCGACGATTCCGCATGTGTAACACACGTTCTAACCATTTCAATCGTTCCAGCTGCTTCACAACCTCGTCGATTGATTTCCCCTTCCACCTACCTACCTACCACTCGACCGACACCTAACCTCAATATTTCTCACCCTATTACATCTACCACTGAACATGTGAGGTAGAATACGGGAACCTATGATCAAACACAGCTAGCTAGCCTTTTCATGTCTTCCACTTCTAATGGCGATATCGCAGAGCCAGTCAGCCATAAAGGAGGAGCACAGCGGAGAGAACTAATGAGCAGTACACACAACACACATCCTTTCGTCGATAGTCAGGTGGCCATCACATTTACTAACCCAGAGATGGCATAAGTTGGCTGAGAAACACCGAACCAGCCTTCTGTATCCATAGTGACTGAGATTTCGTCAGAGATCAACGCGCTAGGGGGGGTGGCTGATGCAACCCCCCAAATAAGTGAAGTGGTCAATGCACTCTACCACTTCACTCTCTGTTTCTACTCTAGGAGTCAATGTTATCCAGTCCTATAGCACTGCATCATCTTACATTTGACAGAGGAAGTGAATGGCATGCCAAACATTCGAAGATTTCTGCCTGTCGAGTTGTTCAGACGGCTGTGCATCTTGACAACATCCTCACCACCTTGGAGGACAATATCATCTTCATAATCTAAGTCAACATAACAAGTCAATCACTAAAGACAATTAAAGTCAATTCCACTGATACACCTGTGGTGAGATCGAACAAAATTGAGGATAGTGGGCATTCCTGACGGACATGACTTCAGATGGCAACTAACCATAAGCTTTTCACATTTCCCCTGGAGAAATAAACAAACCAACAAAGAAAGAAATGAAACACTCCAACTTACCTGTGTATTTAACAGTGTTTTGCATACATCCAAAGGATTTGTAAAAGCTGCAGCAAAACAACCAGCTATCCCGCCGGATAATATATGCGACCAGGGTAGATATTGACGATTTGGATTCAGTACGCTTTGTGCTTGTTCATAACACACAAAATGTATAGTCTGATAGGGTATATTCATGGATAATTGTGTAAAATAGGCTTTATACAATGCTTTTGGCCCTTCTGTTACACAAATACGACGTAGACAATCAAATGAATTATGATATGGACTGTTATAGATTTGTAGGCGTTGTTTAACAGCTGAAGATATTTAAAAAAAGAGAGAGAGAGAGAAGAGTTAAGAAATAAGGAAATTCAAAACACATTAAAATTGAGGTATATCGACTAATTACACGGACAGAAAACAACAACCTGGTTTCTCCATGTTTCTCGAACTGAGATCAGTAGTCTATGATCGATCTTGAATTCAATTCAATCCCTGAAAGGCAACACTCCATGATTTGATCTACTGCTTACCACCATCCCTGACTACAGGACGAAGTTGCCTGCATTTCTAGGGAGTAGTCGTGACCAACAGACACCAACCAAGTCGCGTGTGAGGACAAATACCCGCCGATGATATTCGATAGCAAAAGTTCGAATACATGTGCTATTGGACCCCGTCCTATTGACTTGTCTTGTAACCTGAAAGTCCTGGGTTCGTAATACTGAAGAGTCTCAAACTAGGAAGAAACGAGTGTTCAGTACTTTGCAGTCTTCAGTAGTTCTCTAACTACAGTCAGTTGGTGATCACTCTTGAAATCAATCAAGTCCCCACACACTGATACTGAGAAATGATTGGAGACAGTCGGCAGTAAGCCCTGGTTGCACCTAGGTTTAGTGTACACATAGTCTTGAAGAGACCGATGCCTCCTTTATGAGATTCAAACCTGCACCACACAGTGCTACAGTCACGTTTAAGACCAATGAGCTATTTCGGTGTCTGCGAATGACTGACTAACCACTTCCACAAATGTAATGGACAGTTTGGTTGACCCCTAGAAAGTAATCAATGACATCTGTTTACACTCCTTAGTATCGACTGAATTTTATCAGTCAGCCTTTACAATGTGACTTTACTTTCAATTACCTGCAATCTTTTAACATTGCACTTATAAATCACCTGCTCCAGCTGGAGGGAAGGACTTAGATTTTCTTCTCGAGATGTTCTCAAATGGTCACACGTCCATGGCCTACGTCTGCCAGGCAATTCTCACTCAGTACCTTCATGCAGAGTGGTAGGTATTCCATACACAAGTGTAAGGGCGAATGAGAACGTTGGACGCTTACAACCGAGTTTTTTAGACAGGCTGATCTACCAGCTATGAGAGCTGAAAACCCCGAAATTCAAACCAACGACGTACATAGACTCTAGAATCCGAACAAATCGATTGGCGTTTGAACCTGTTTTGGTGACCGGGAATTATAGGAAAATGTAGGTCCTGTCCTGTCGCTGCTACATTGCCTGGTGGATCAGACTCTAAGTCAAATGCTCGGAGGGTGGCTCATTGAGACAACCATCTACTTCGTTCGGTCTGGATGGAGTATCACAGCCCTCATACAAACTATAAAATTTTCCCTGAAGCATCTCTTAATGTCCATAATACATCAAGTTTTTGTTTTTTTATAAGGTACAATAAACACCTTTACCGCTAATTCAATAAGTGCACCAAGATACACAGCTTTCTGGATACATTATACATTAATCACCGCCATCTTTCTCCTAGTGACAAACCAATATTAAATCAAGTCCGACATCAACCAGTGGTCGAAACTGAATAGTCTTACTTCAAATCCCTAGAAAAATGTCAGACTCTGTTAACTTCACCTTCAGGCATGAACGTGTTCTACAAAAACTGGTCCATTCATTCATAAGATGCTTGTAGAAAAGATGGTAGTGAAATAGAAACTAAGTCAGACATTAGTTCTATCCCTTAGTCTTTCTTTGAGGATCTTCGAGGATCTGGATTTCGCTGGTGATATATGTCTGATTTCCCACAAACTGGAAGATATGCAAATGAAAAGCAACAAGTTGGTAGAAGAAATATCAAAGATAGGACTCCAAGTAAACATAGAGAAAACAGGGATGATGAAGATTCCTGGCCAACACCAACAACAACAAAAAGAGAAAAATCAGTATAAATGGAAGGAACTTGAGAGAAACAACCTACTTTACCTACTTACCTGGGAAGCATCGTTTCAACTACAGGCGAATGGAACTGACGAGCATATCAAAGCAGCGAGGATCATCAAGAAAGCAAGACAAGCTTTCATTACTCTCAAGTCTGTGTGGAGATAGATCAACAGCACTCAGCATGAAAATGAAAATAAGATCGGGATTTCCAACTCCAATGTGAAGTCAGTGCTACTCAATATACGGATGGATCAGACACTTAACGCCATGTCATAAAGAGCACCTCAAACAAACTAAAGACCATCAATCAACAGCTGTCTTCGCTCAATACTTCGCTCAAGATGAGATGGGTAGCCAGAGAAGATCAGGAACAGGGATCTCTGGGAGCGAACCAACCCAGCAGGAACCGATTGTGCAATAGATACGTAGGAAGAAATGGAGGTGGATTCACCATACTCTGAGAAAACTAATCATCAAGTGACATCACTAGACAAGCCATCGCTCGAGTGGAACCCGACCGAATGGGAAACGGTGAGTTGGTCGTCAATGCAAGGGTGACTTGGAGGAGGTCATGTGAAGAGGAGATGAAAGTATGTGGGCAGACCTGGAGCCAAGTGAAAACTCTAGCAGAGAACCGAACGCAATGGAGACTTGGGCGGCTGAAGCCCTATGTTCCTCTAGGAACTAAAGGAAATAATAATAATGATAATAAGTCTTTCTTGATCGTCCCATATCTAGTTCATTTCTAAGGAAAATGTGTCGTCTAAGCTTCTACTTTAAAAAAGACAATCAGGAATCACTCAACTTCGACTTTTACAGTTTGTTAACTCTTCCGTCTTGCTTAATGTACTTTACTGCTCCCCTGCAGTCTTTCCTGGACTAACATAAAAAGGCTGTGAAATGTGAACAGAGAAGACGGGGGTGACGAAGATAGCCAATCAACAACAACAACAACAACCAGCACCATCAACAGAGTTTGCCTTCTTCATTTATCTGGGAGGCATCGTTTCAACTACAGGCGGTCGGAAGGGATGAAGATGTCAAAGTCAGAATCGAAAAGGCAAGATATGCCTTCATCAACCTGAAACTAGTTTAGAAATCTTCTGCACTCAGCCAGCATAAAGAATAAGATTCAGATTTTCAACAGCAATGTCAAGTCGGTCAGTCAGTCAGTTCTTCTATACGGGTTAGAAACTTGCACTGCATGTCAGTCATGAAAAGGATTTGAAACAGGCTACTGAAGACTTTCATCAACAGCTGCCCACTTCACCGGCTCCATAGTGATGATAAAATGGCCAGAAAGAATAAGCAGCAAGAAACTGTGGGAACAAACCAACGAGCAAGAGCCGAACGCTCAACAATTATGTAGGAAGGAGATGGATGGATCGGTCATACATTGAGGAGGCCGACGAAGGACATCGCACGCCAGGCCATCGTTTTACTGGAATCCGAATGGGAAGCGACAAGTGGGTCGCCAATGCGAGGGTGACATGGAGAAGATCATGTGAGGAAGAGATGAAAGTATGGTCACTCGTGGACTCAGCTGAAGAGGACAGCAGAAAACAGAACAAAGTGGAGATGTGTTGTTGGAACTCGATGTTCCACTCGGAACGTCAGGGAATAATAATAATAATAATAATAATAATAATAATGTGAAGGGCATTAAAGGTTGTTAGTAGGGCAAGTGGTGTGTGTGTGTGTGACAAGGTCAAGTAGTTACTACTGTAGTCAACATTCATTCGAACTCTTGTGAGAAACAGGCTAAATCTATATTGTCTGACTCTGATGAGCACCCCTTGTTAATCACAAATTTTCCCTTCCATCTCATCGCGGAGGGGGGGGGTGGGGTAGGACTAGAAGTCGTACAACTGAGTACAAAAACACAACGACAGTCTAAGCGTGAAACCTACGACTTACTACGTTATTAAGCAAAAAATAAGTGGCTCTTTTTCGATCCTCTCCTCTTTGTAATCTATTTCAATTAACTTGTAATTTTAACTATTAACATCATTATCATTATCATCTTTAGTTTACACTTTTTGTACATTTTCGATTTTATTTCCACTGCTATTATCAATCCTGTACTTACGATTTTTTCAACAAGTGTTGTACCACCAGATGTCAAGAATTCTACACAATACGATAAGTACTGGTTTTGGGACAAAAATTATTATTATTTCTTTTAGTTCCTAGAGGAACATAGGGCTTCAGCCGCCCAAGTCTCCATTGCTTTCGGTTATCTACCAACGTTTTCACCTGGCTCCAAGTCTGCCCACATCCTTTCACCTCCTCCAAGCCACCCTTGCACTAACGATCAACTCGCCGCTTCCCTTTCGGATTCCACTCGAGCGATGGCTTGTCTAGTGATGTCACTTGATGATTAGTTTTCTCAGAGTATGGTGAATCCACCTCCATTTCTTCCTACGTATCTATTGCACAATCGGTTCCTGCTGGGTTGGTTCGCTCCCAGAGATCCCTGTTCCTGATCTTCTCTGGCTACCCATCTCATCTTGAGCGAAGTATTGAGCGAAGACAGCTGTTGATTGATGGTCTTTAGTTTGTTTGAGGTGCTCTTTATGACATGGCGACAAGTCTCTGATCCATCCGTATAGTGACTAGCACTGACTTCACATTGGAGTTGAAAATCCGGATCTTATTTTGATGCTGAGTGCTGTCGACCTCCACACAGACTTGAGAGTTAAGAAAGCTTGTCTTGCTTTCCCGATGGTCCTCACTTTGATACCCTTATCAGTTCCGTCCGCCTGTAGTTGAAACGAGGTTCTTTCTCTCAGGTTCCTCCCATTTATGCCGGCTGATCGTTGTTTGTTGTTGGTGTTGCCCAGGAATCTGACTACGCCCCATTCACGTAGTTACATAAAACTCTTATTTCTGTGGAATTTCTTGCCAAGATGTATCCACATAAACATTTTCAAAAGTACAGATTCACTTACTACAACTTCTGTGTTACAATGACCTTCAATTGTGATATATTCACTAAAGTGTGCCACATAAACACACGCACAATGTTTACAATGAAGAACAACAAAAAGACTTGATAATAATAAGAATTTCTAATATTCTTTTCGTAACCTCATCCCTTCAATACTGGACAGTCATTTAGTGTTGT